TTCCTGCTCCCAAACGCTGAAAGAGGGCAGAATTTTTGCCTACAGCATAGTCCCGGATTTCATCGTCAAGCCACTTCCAAAGCTCTTCCGCTGCCAGAGGGTACCCATGACACTTGTACTTCTTAGCATCATCAATTTTAAAAGGGATCGTGCAAAAGTTTAAAAAGGACCTAGGGTCAGATTTGAGATTTTGAGATTTTGCTGCTATTCAAAATCAAGGAAGAGGTAAAGATGCAATGCTTAGCTACAGGGGTGTGAAGACCCGACACAGTTGAGGCTGTTTCCAGCTGAGATCTTGAGTCAGGCCCACTGTCTTCTGCTGTAAAGAAAGCTCTGAACACAAAACCAAACCCAGCACAAATTCTGCAAGAGGCACGCTTGCTTTGGGTTACTCCATCAAGCCTGCAGGTTTGCAGGTCTGGAACTGCACGTGTTGAGCTTTTGCATTTAGCAGGGAGTAGGTGTAATCTTGGTAACTCATTCGCCACGAGTACTTAAGATGTAAGCAATTTGTAAATCGATAGATTCCAGGGAAACGCGGGCAAACTTTTTATTGATTGACTTCTTGTTTTCCTGTAACTTACTGACCAATAACATGATGCAACTGCTGTCAGTTGTGAAAGTGAAGCGGATCCTCTCAGAAACATCGGAAATCGGGGTCCCTAAACGATGGAGAGATCAGTGTGCTGGCATTAAGCTCTTCCTCAAAGAGAAGGACGCTACAAAGGAGCTGAACGCCTCCAAGCCTTGATAAGCACATTCGCTTCCTTACGTTAGCTCCAGGAAAAACTAGAAGTAACGTAAAGCTATTGACTTTGATGCCTTGCTTTCAAAGAAACTACCCTGATTTACAGCATTTGAGGACACAGCAAACTGTCATCAGGCATCTTTTCAGCAGCTTATGGAAAATGCACGCACTTTCTCCTTGGGGGTCTACACCAAAGGAGCAATCAGGCACCCTTTAGACAGAAGCAGTTTGTGATGGGAAGGCTGGGGCTGAGAAGCAAAATGTTCTTCCCACCTCCCTGCTCACTGGAGATGGTCTAGGGTGGTGCTTGCTACTGCTCCCCAGGCAAGAAGAGTTTTGGGCTTGACCACAATCACTGCACCCTGAGCCGTGGAAACGGGGGCATCAAGTTATTAGGCTGAAAATATACTTTTAAGTAACATAAAAGTAAATTTAGGGAAATTTTTATCCTTTAATCTTGTAAAATCAGGATGGGTGGAGTGGGACGAGTCCTTGATTCAGGGATTTTAAACATTCTTATCTATCTCCTCAGAAGTCTTTACATTTCAACGGGGCTCTGAAAACACCGGATTTGTCAAGCATGAAACGGACATCACGGGGATAAATGTATTCTGAAGCTTATTAGGCTGGGTGAAAAAAAAGAGGTCATTATACCAACAAAGTATGAAAACTCCCCAATCCTCTCCTTCACATAGCATTAAGTGAGACTTAGCAATTTTTCATGACTTCATCAAAAACTTAAAATCCAACCAAATGACACTTTATCCTGCCATGCCCTTGGCCTCAAGAATCTCAAAGTACTCGTCTAGTACTACCAAATTAATCTCCTTCCACGGGGCATGTGGCTGAGTGGAGAGAAAAAGCAGGCGAAAACTGTGGTGACCACACGTCTATAAATACAGACAAGAGGCACGCTACGTTGCCAGACTCAGGAATTTATAGGCCAGAAGGGGCCACTTGATCATCTTGTGTGATCTCCTTACACTGCGGACTAGGGGACTTCACCCAGCTCCTCTGAATGTCTCTCATCACAAGGCACCATAAAATGGCAACTCAGACAATATTACAAAGTCAAAAGATCAAACTTCATGACAACAGCTGAACTCTAATTGCTTTCTTGGGAAGCAATGGCACACCACCAGCTGTGGTTGAGCCAGCAGTAAGTTTAAGGCCAAAAGGGACTCTCAGGTCTTCTGCATCACCCAGCTCACAAGGAGACCGGCTCAGACCTGAGCCGTTGCTGGTCAAAAGGCCTCTGCCGGCAAGGCATTTCCTCTCCCTCCGAGGACAACCAGTTTGGAAGAATCCATCTTTTCTTCATATGTCTGCCAAGATGTTCACTGACATTAACCACCGGGGTCCCACTTCTCATTTTGAAACGTCTGGTCTCCCACTTCCATCCATAGCCCATTGCTGTGCCTTTTCCACCTTGGAAAAGGAGGTAGGCCC